CTTCAGAAAAACACATCTAAAACAACGAGCCCTTTTTGTTGTCAATCTGATATTTGCTACCCCTATATGCTGTCTGGAGAGCCCCATCATAAATTCACGTGGCATGTTTTTATCTGGCTGGTATCACCATGCCTTGGAAAACTTCCCATGAGCTATAGAGTCATAATCTTTGCTGTGTAAGAAACTACGTCGTAATGCAAATTGTAAATTTTAAAGCAGCATTAGTCGATTCTCACCCATCCAGCTGTCGCAGAACAAAGTTAGCATTTAATTTGAGTTGGGTTTCAGTCCACCTGGTGAATTTGAGTCCAATATTCACTCTCCTTTTAGGACTGCTTTGGTCCCCATCAACTCCTCACACACTAGTTGCTCACGTTATCTGTCTGCTGTTCGTTGCTGGCAAGTAACGTACGGTGGGTTTATCTGAGCTTTTTCTCTGCAGCTACCTTGTACAAGTGGGAACAAGGTTAATGAGAGTGAACCAAAACAGTGAGCTAAAATAGACTGCCTGAATAGCTCAATTGGATGAGCGTCAGTCTGTGAAGCAGCACTTCTTATTCCAGTCATGCGTTTGATTCCCACCTCGGCCGACAGTGTTAAATGATTTGCTTTCAACTTTACGTGGGGGTGGTGATGAGGCAGTGGATGAGACACATGCCTTTGGTGTGAGAGACCCGGGTTCACTTCCCATTGTGACACATCAACCAGTGTTTCCCTGAGCAAGCCACTTAACCCCTAGTTGCTCTAGAGGCGTGCGACCTCTGACACATATATATATAGCAATTGTAAGTCGCTTTGGATAAAGATGTCAATGTGATAATTCTCTGTGGGATCATCCCAAGATCAACCCATTACACACAGTCAATTCACGTATTGATAATATAAAATATTGATTAGTACATTAGTGTTTTTCAGGGATTTTATTACCATCAGATTGACTGATGGATTGCAAAAACATGTGTAATTTGCGACTGGTGGTGCCCTGAAGAAAAACCTTTATTTGTCAAATACTATGCCTTTAACTCTTTTATTTTCCCAGTAACATATCTTGCTACAGGCATACCTAAACTCGCTAGAGCTGGCAACTAGGGACCACTTTTCCAGATGATGCCAAAATAGACACAGCTGATTTTTGGTTTTTAACTTGGGAGGAAAACAGGTGCCTCTTATCCATGTAAACATGCCAAGGATTGTAGGTCTGTAATTATTCTGGGCAGTGTGGGAGAGGGCAAGCCAGACAATTGTCGTTTACCATCGTCATTCACTCCCGTGAAGGTCTTGCACAATTCACATTGTTATGTTATTCAATTAATTATGACAATCACTTGTGGTTAAGCAATAATTGACAAGTACATACTGTAGTTAAAAGCTGGGTTATTTCATGAATTAGGTGTGACGAAGCAACTAGTTAAGGTTCAATGTTTTGCTATGGTATTTACAACAGTGCATGCAATGAGGAGATAAAACAAAAATAATATCAGACTGAATCAAGCATACAAGCATGTGAATATTAGATACTGTGGACATAACGAAGTCTTGGAAATTGATGGAATATAGCCAATAAATCCCAAGTGACCTACTCTGGAGCTGCTGTTTTCCCACTGTCACAATATGAAGCTCTACATCTGTCTCGGTTTTATTCAGCTGACTCATTTGCTCCCTCTGAGACATTTACAGCTGGCTCATAGTTCACATTATGCACAAGGCACTGCACAAATAAAAGTCCGTTGTTGAGATGGGTCTGCAGAACAGTTTGGCGTTATCTCTTGGGCACGTATGCAATTACTATGCACAATATGGCATTATACACATTATTGTGTATACACTGTGCTGCTTCTTCGAGAACACCCTACAGTGGGGTTTTGTAAGCATCACCACACTGAAATCTTTTATTTCAAGTTTTACATTTTATTTTATGTTTTACAAACGGTGCTTCTGTTTAGGCATCGTTGATTAAGTTGCAGAAGAAACCAGAGCTGCATATTATTCAGTCCATTAATGAATCATCCATGCAAATCTCATTTGTAGTTTAAATTAAGCATCTGGAGATTTGAATAGTGCAGAATCTAACTAGCTTAAAAATGATGTGCATTTCAAAGCAAATTATCTGTTCGTTGACAGCTCAATAAACAGACTGCACATCTACCAAATCCCCACATATACCATGGAATAATCCATACAGAGCAACACCTACCACCTTTTAAATAAATTCAGCAGTATATGTGCAGTTTCAATGTGCTATGGGAAAACTTACCCCATACACATGCTCCTTCCTACCTTACCGTGTGTCATCCTGATTGGCCACCGGTGGAGTGTGTAGTCACCTTGGCCCAACTGACCCAGCTCTTGCCCAGCCCACCACCAACTAGCTCACTGCTACAGTCATATCAAATGTCCCAAACCCCTTCCTACCAGCTGTGTAATCAGAGAGCTCTGAATGGCTCACCCTCTGAATGTGTGGAGGGGACGCTTGACATAGTGACAGACACTGATAGTGTTGTGGTGGGGGGGACGGAGCAGCTGAGGAATGCCAACAGACACAAAAAAAGGAAAACAAAACCTCTGGTGAATGACAGGGCTACAATACAAATGATGGGGGTGACTCAGAACAGACCCACTTAAAATAATCAACAACATATTTCACTGCAGAAAAGAAATGCTGGTCCAAACGCTCTGTCCCGTGTGGATGAGAGGTCATGCACATGATCCTCAACGACAGAGAAACACTTAACACAAAAGGTATTACTGATGAAGTAATAGTTGTTATAAAAATATTAAAGGGGCTATCTGTAAGTTTTTGATTTTAATAAATCAAATTGTCAATGGGCTCAAAACTCACTTACAAATGAAGCACACGCCTGTTTTCTCTCTTGCTTGAATCAGCCACTATTCTGCTTTTAATGTGAGGTCTCTGGGTCGGATTCAGCCCTGTGCGCGCTCCCGAGCCTCTCTCGTACTACAGCGACAACACGGCAGCTAACGACATGCAGTCCACTAACACCATCAAACAACCTGCTCACAGCAAAACACAGTAAAGGTTTATGTGCTGAAGCCCATCAGACCAAACAGGTTCAGATGATGTTGAGTCAGAACAAAGTGAGCATTAGTAAAGCTGGAGAAACACAGAGAAAGTCACGTTAGCTCGCCGGCTGACGCCGAGCAGTTGCTAATGTTATCCGGTGCAAAGTTAGATCGCTTTCCACATCAATTCACCAACTAG